AAAGGTAAAATACATACATGCATCAATACAAGTATAGATTTTGCATTGTACACAAGTTAATCAAATATGATTTTTGTTTTATGTTTGAGCAAGTAAAATATACATTATATGTTTTGTAGTTATTTTAGGTTTATTTCTTTATGTCTGTAGCCAGAATTATCAGTGGGTCTTCCTTGATCAAAGCTGATCCATATCAATCTGGAATGAATCCACAGCCTCTCATTTCCTGTAGACACAAAAATATAACCTCTTTCCCAAAGTAATACATGATTTGACTTCTATTTTGAAGTCAAGTCACTTTCAAAACATATAGGTGGGTTTAGCCCAGAAGTTTCCATAATCCAGTGTGTTTTAGCAGCTGTCATTCCTTCATCAGCAATCAGAAAATTCAAAGACAACACGATAACATACAGGATCTAGACTCTCTGTGTATTTCTCATCTTTATGTGGCTTATTATTAACATTTTATTACTTTATTCCTTTTTAAAGGACTTTATTATTTTTAAACTATTTTAATCTATTACTGTATGTATCATTTCTCTTTTCACTCCTAAGCCCATGTATATTTTTAAATAGACTGTAACCCATTTAGAGGTTGTTTTCCCCCATCTGCATCTATCTTTACTGAGCATCTGTATTGTTCTTTGATTGTATGAGATGAATCTTAAACTGCTATGTCAGTTGCTGCTGATGTAGCTTGTCTTTGTGCATGGTGGTAGTACATGACAGCTTCTGACTGACTCCATCCTACAGGAAAGCTGCCAGAAGACGTGTCTCTGTACTATGGCTGGCATGAAAGTCATGAGACTAGGAAGCCATGTTGGGCTCTGTTTTTGTGTGTTTAGAACCTTTTAAAAGCTTTCTTAGGTCTTATGTGGATGTAGATGCTGGGCATTTGGGCACCATATATGGGTGGACTTTTCTTTCCTGCCTACCAGTGCCCAAATAACTGACAGGAGACTTAATATAAATTATAAATGATCAGCTCATAGCTCAGGCTTATTACTAACTAGATCTTACAACTTTAATTAATCCATTTATATTAATGTACATTCTGCCACATGGTGTTTCCTTTCTTTCACCTTGTACCTCTTGTTTCCTCTCCATGTCTGGGGTTGGCGACTCCGCTGACTCCTCTCTCCTTCTCTGTGTTCTCTTGTCCCCCAAAATCTTGCCTAGCTACCAGGCAATCAGCTTTTTATTAACAATGAGAGCAACATATCTTCACAGTGTACAAAAGGATTATTCCACAGCAAACCACAGTGCTGTATGTTAAGTTTGTCATAGAAGATATCCAGTAAAATAATTGTGGGAAACTTTTCACATAGGAAAGCCAGGGAAAACTGAAAAAGACATTTTATTTTATTATTGTTTTTAAAATTTATTATTAGAATTATATTTAGAGATAAAAAGGTTTATTTTGGCTCATAGCTTTGATGATCCATGGTCAATATATCCTATTGCTTTGGGCCTGTAATTTAATATTTGTATCACTCTAGAATTTTACTCAAATATTTAGATATAGATATAGCAATAGATACCTTCTTAAAACATATTACATATTAGGAAGGTTGATGTTTATAAAATAAGTATTAAAAGAGAATGATAATTCATAGCCCAGATTTAGTTTATAAATACAATGCATAAATGCATACACACACAGAGGGGGAGAGAGAGAGAGAGAGAGAGAGAGAGAGAGAGAGAGAGAAAGCAGGGCACATAAAAAGACAGACTCTACCAGTAGAGAGAAATTAAGAAGTTGTACCATCAAACTGAGGAGAAGTAGATCTGGGTGGTGGGGGCAGGAATGGGAAGGGAGGTGGGAGGGGAAACTGCAGTTAGGATGTTATACATGAGAGAAGAATAAATAGAAAAAAACTACCCTGCTTTTAAACAAGTTGCAGCAACAACCAAAAAGAAGTTGACCATCTTCAATATTTAAGTGAAAATTACATTGATTTACCTACACCACGTTTTCCTTGTCTGTCTATCTACAGGGAGCTGTATAATTCTCCTGTTTCCTCAGAGGTAGCAGGTTAGGAGTTGAAGTTCAACTTCAGAGACATACTGAGTTCAAGGCCAGGTTTGGTTGTCTGAGATCCTGTCTCAAAAATATATACATATATATTAAAAATGCAGGGTCACTCATATGCATTTGCAGCTAAGAATGGATCTTTGGGCTTCAAGCTTGGTCTGGCATCTTGGATCCATTTCCACTCTTTCATGCTGTCTTTCTTGAATTGTCAGCTGACTGAGAGCAAGGAAGCATTCCAGGAGGCCTCTGCAGGAGAAAAGTCTGGAGCAGACTTCTCAGTAGTGTGGTATGGATCTCCCAGTTTTACTAAAAGGCCTAAGAGGTGGGTGTGCTGGTTAGTTTTGTCACCTGGACACAAACCTGGGAAGAGGGAGCCTCAATAAAGGATTTGCTCCATCTAATCGGGCTGTGGGGGTGTTTTCCTGCCATGTGTGGTGGTGCTAGCCCTGGGAGGATTGTCCTGGGTTGTATAAGAATACAAGTTGAGCAGGCAACCTTCTTCCTCTGTGGTCTTTAGTTCCTGCCTCTAGGTTCCTGCCTTGAGTTTCTGCTCCGCGTCTCTTGATGGACTATAAACTATAAGCCAAGTGAATAAACCCTTTCCATCCCATGTCCTTTTTGGTTAGTATTTTGTCATAGCCACAGAAAACAAACTAGGACAAGTGGGTGATTATGGTGATATTTTATTTGTGCTAAAACATGATTTTATTTGTATGTTAATAAATAAAGTTGCCTGGGGATCAAAGCGAATAGCAAGCCATAGCAGAAGCTGGGTGTTGGTGGCACATACCTTTAATCCTGATCACATGACAGGCAGATCTCTGTGTGTTCAAGGATACAGCCAGCATGGAGACAGACGCCTTTAATCTCAATACCAACCATAGAGACCTAGAGGTCTGTACAGACAGGCAGTGACAAGGAGGTCATGTGGTTGGGTTTACAACCAATAAGAAGGCAGAACAGAAAGTCAATAAAAAGATAGACACACAGGAAGTAGGTCTCTTTCTGAGGAGAAGGATGGTAGCGGCAGTGAGGGGTAAGAAAGGGTTTTTAGTATCAGCTCTTAGCTACTGCTCTGACCTCTTGAGCTTTTAACTCTGCATTTGGCTCTGTGTTTCTTATTTAATAAGACTGTTACATCTACAGGTGATTTACCTAGTCATGACCTGGAAAATATAGCCAGTCACCAGCAGTTTAAAACCTGTATTTTTTTAACTTGTAAAAAGGTGTGAAGAACAGAAATTCTATATTCTTTCTGATTATAAATAATAAAAATTAATTTTACTCTTTTAAAATTCTTAAAGCAAAAGAATCACAAGCCATCATAGTATTATTTCAAATTATAAAATATATTCCACACAGAGATTTAAATACAAAACAATTACAGATGCCATTAGTATATATTCCACACAGAGATTTAAATACAAAACAATTACAGATGCCGTTAGTGAAAACATTAGTAAGGATGTCTATCATCATGTGGTAGACAATTTTCTTCCGAACTTGAACAAGAGCAAAACTGTATGGGGGGGGTTAATTGCTAAATTTGGCAAGAAAACATTAATAACCAAACAATACCAAATTAGGAATGGTATTTTTAATAGATGACCAGCACTTAAAAGTTATAAGCCACGAAGAAAAAGAACAGAAAATAACCACTCTTTTCATGGGTTTCTTCTCTTTCTGGATGAGAACGAATCACTTAACACATTCCAGCCTTTTCTGTCCATGGGCCAGCAGGCCTAACACCTTCTCCTAGTATATGAGCAACTTTACTCTCACAACGAAAATGTCTGCAGATTGCCCACTGTCCTTGTAGGTCATGCTCACCTCTGCATCTTTAGCACAAGACCCAAGTAGATGTAAGATAAAATGTTCTGGGGCCAGTTTGGAATATCTGAGTATGAACTCATAGATCAGTCTAGGTATAATATAAACCAGAACATAGGTATGATTCAATAAATAAGAAACTTATATTTGACAAATTATCATGGTAACATTAAAAATAAGATTAAAATGATAATGCTTGTAGTTGACAAATACATGGTAAATAAAAGAGCACTTTCTTATCAGTAACAAGAATAAAATCTAGGTGACTTTTCTAGAGGTCAGCATGTGAAAAAGTTTTTGTTCATTGCTGTGGGATGTTCTGTATGTCCTGTGGAAGCCCGTTCTTGGGTTCCTCGTGGCTTTACCCAGCAGGATGATTAGGACCACGGGCCTGAGTGCAGGTGTCTGAGATGGTCTCCACTTGGCTGTGCTGTGGGATGGTCTGTATGTCAAGTTGCTCTGATTGGTCAATAAATAAAACACTGATTGGCCCGTGGCTAGGCAGGAAGTATAGGCGGGACTAACAGAGAGGAGAAAAGAAAGAACAGGAAGGCAGAAGGAGTCACTGCCAGCCGCCACCCTGACAAGCAGCATGAAAAGATGCTGGTAAGCCACGAGCCACGTGGCAGGGTATAGATTTGTGCAAATGGATTAATTTAAGCTATAAGAACAGTTAGCAAGAAGCCTGCCACGGCCATACAGTTTGTAAGCAATATAAGTCTCTGTGTTTACTTGGTTGGGTCTGAGCGACTGAGGGACTGGCGAGTGACAAAGATTTATCCTGACTGTGGGCAAGGCAGGAAAACTTGAGCTACAGTTCATAGTTTCTCATGCAGTAATTGTAGGAATAGCTATAAAGGAACTAATAATACGAGTAGAAAATTCACTATTAGGATTTACATTATATTATGTATATCCTTTTGGGCAGTTGATTGTCTTATATAATAATGAGAAACAGATGATAATTTTATGGGTTTAACCCCAGGTTATTAGTTCAATAAAATGGGACATACTAATGTAACTCAATGTTCTATTTTTAATATGAGTTTGTAAAATATATAATGACATATAATGCTTTTAGAGGAGTCTTAAAATTGTGGATGATATCATATAATGAACCAAACCTCATTATCAGCAGAAAGAACCACTTTATTGTAATGATGACTGGCTTGTGAACTGCCTGGTTTGATGGTTAAAGTATGTACGGCACAGAAGAGGAAGGCCTTCTAAACTGAAGTGAGTAGTACCAACTGGTACCATCTGTTTTTACTTTTTAAATGAGACTATTTTATATCCTTTAGGACAGCTGGTTCTCTTAGGTAAGTAAAACAATCTCTTTGAATTTTTAATTGGAACAATTGATTTGTTCAGAAAGGAAAAAAAAGAGTCATGTTTAAATAATGAGTTTAGAGTAAGTCCCGTGTGAGAGGAGGTCCCTCATGTGAGAGGAGGTCCCTCATGAGCTAAAAGCCATTTCTTTCTCAGTGAGGTCTCCGTAGGTGTGGCTGAGGACAGTCAGCTCAACACAGTCTGCATTTTTCTATAAGAAGGAAACTTCTAGAACACCCACTGAGGAAGAGAATTCACTTATTCACAGATCTGTCTATTGATCTCTTTGTCCATTTTTTTTCCCAGCCATTGGCACCTTGTTCATGATTTCTCTCCATTGGTCTAGTGATTTGTTTTCATTTTTTTTTTGACCAAGACAGTCTGTGTTCTTTAGGAAGGATTTGAAGAAATATCTTGAGCAATTCTTTGTTAAAATATACAGGTTTTCTGAACACATCTCCCTCTTCTTCTGAAAGCCCCACCCCCAAACACACATTGTAAGGGTCCCTGAGATCTGTGATTGATTTTTTTCTTCTTCTTTTGAACATGTATCAGAGGAAACACCTGGAGATTTGCACAGTTTTAACAATTTATGAGAAAGGATGTCTGACTATAAAGAGGAACGGAGCATTTTAATAAATCTTTTATCATTGTTTTCCACTGTAAACAGCAATAGATGAGACAAAAATAAAAGGTAAATGAAAAGTAATCACAATTTCTTCCTTTAAAATACTTTTGTTTACGTTTTACAGGCATTCGTATTTTTACAAGTGTTTATGTTTGAGTAATATATGGGCATGCATGAATATGTATAGCTAATATTTATTTTTAGAATCTCCATTCTCACTCATATTTGAAGATATGGCTATAAATGGCACTAAATGGAAAACAGGAAAGCACACCAAAAAATGGTTGATGGAAGACATCTGAAAGGAATTAGACACATTTTCAGGAGTACTTCTCTATTCCATCCCTGTGCCCCTGGCTAATATGTTCTTTGTACACTAAATTCCAGCTTTAGAAAAGTTGCCAGACACGCAGGACCAATGCATTGCCTCGTGTCTCCTTCACTGATCAGATGCAGCCGTAGAGAGGCTTGGGCCAAACCACTGTTATGACTGACTTTGTAAGACACTGCATGTCTGTTCGTGTTCTCTCTCTCTCTCTCTCTCTCTCTCTCTCTCTCTCTCTCTCTCTCTCTCTCTCTCTCTCTCTCTGTGAGTGTGAGGGAGAGAGAGAGAGAGAGA